CATATTAGGCCTATGATATATAGGCCTAATAAAGTTGAGCTTCATTATCATTGTTATTGATGATAATGTTACTTCTATATAATCTAATCTTTGTATTTTAAAGAATGACTTCTAAATACAGATGGCCCTGACTTAGGATGCTTAGACTTACTTGCTACATTTTAACATTATGATGGTGCAAAAATGATACCCATTCACTAAAAGCTGTGCTTTGAATCTGTAATTTAAATCTTTTCCTGCACTAGCAATATATGGCAAGATACTCTCTAGTGATGCAGAGTTACACACAACTCCTCGTCAGCTACACAACCATGAGAGTAAACAACCAATACCATACAGCAGCAATTTTCTACCTTTTTCATCTCATAGCACAGGTATACTTACTATTAAAGCCCCATGGCACACCAAAAATACACTATATTTTTTGTTGATATGAAAAACTATTGGTATAATTTTTATTTGTTCACACAGGACAGCTATTATTACATTGGCTGTTGTCATTTTTCATTTGGCAATCTAAGGGGAAAAAGGTCAGTGCCTCTAACTAAATAGTCAGGTACTGCATGGTTTAAAAATTATTGCAATAGTTTTGCCCAGCTGTAGTCTAATGTAAGTGTTCTGAGCATGTTTAAGGTAGGTGAGGCTTAGCTATGGTATGCAGTAGGTTAGGTGTATTAAATGCACTCATCGGGATGTAGCCCCATCGTAAGTCAAGGAGCATCTGTACTTTGTCTCTATGCCATTCCTCATGGTTGTATCTTAATGACTTGAACTGACAAATAAAGAAACAAATTTCAATTCAGTAGATATCATTCCTTATTAAATAAAACTACCTCTAGTCTAGGAGAATAAGGTGGCAGAAAAATAAAACAAAACCTTAATTTCTATGGGAAGTTATCCAGGCAATTATTTCCATCATTTTGCAGTGCTTTCTCATTCTTTGCAAAAATAAATACAGAGAAAATGTTCATAGTAACTCTACTCTAAAGAAGTTTCTTTTCAAGATTCAGAATTGCGATTAAACTGCTGAGTGATGGACAAGCTTATGGCAGATGCATTTCTGCTCATCAGAGGTTCTACAGCATTTATTCAGACACAATAGAAACCACTGTGATGTAATGAGCAAACAAACTAATGGTGGATACAAAAAAGACAGATCTTTCATTCATCTAGTATGTATTTCATACCCAAAGTGGCACCTTTCAATTACTTACAGAGATTGGTCTAATAAAAGATTAAAATTATCCTCATGAAAAACAAACAAGCTTTATCCCAAAAAGAAACTCCACACCCATCGGCAGTCTCCACAGCCCTAGGAAACCACCACCTGTTTTGTGTGTCTACAGACTGGCCCATTGTGGACATTTTATGTTAATGGGATTGTATAATTTGCAGTCTTTTGTGATTATGATGATGGTTATATACCTTTGAAAATACACTAAAAACCATCAGATTGTACACTTTAAATGGCAAACTTTATGGTATATAAATGATCTCAATAAGCAGTATTTTAAAATCAAGCAGTTCAGAATCCCTGGGTCAAAAGGCAGTTAGTTCCATTTTCAGTTTTTTGAGGAAATTCCATACTGTTTTCCACAGTGGCTGCACCAGCCTGCATTTCCACCAACAGTCCATCAGTAAATGAGTGGATCAAAAAACTGTGGTGCACTTACACAATGGAATACTACACAACACAAAGACAGAAAGAATTCATACCTTGTGTGATAGCATGGATGGAAGTGGAGAATATTACGCTAAGTGAAATAAGCCAGTCAGTGGAAAACAAATAGCATATGATCTCACCTATAAGAGGAAACTAATGAATAAAAATAAACTAATGAGCAAAATAGAACCAGAGGCATGGAAACATGGAACAGAATGACAGTGACCAGAGAGGAGGGAGGAAAGGGATATTGGTGGAAAGGAGGGGAAGGGATAGTCCAAGAACATGTATGAATGACCCCTGGACATGGAGAACAGTGTGGGGATTGACTGTGGGAGTTGGGGGTGGGCTGGGCAGCAGACAGCAAAGGAGGAAAATGGGACAGCTGTAATAGAATAACAATAAAAGTGTTTTAAAAATCAAGTAGTTTATAGAGAAACATATGAACACTTTAGATAAAAGGAAAAATGTTGCAAATTAAAAGAAGAGGAAAAATGTCTTGGGTTAGACAGGGCAACACTTCCTTTTTGCCCTTGACTCCACCCTATCTCATCAAAATTATAATCATTGAGTCCCCAGGGAAAAACAAACTTCATGGGAAGGAAACATTACTGTGGATTGAACAAAGTAAAAATCAAGAGCATGCAACTCCCAGATTTGCGGGCCTTGGCAGGAGTTAGTTAAATAAACCTGTACTTGGGCTAACACCCCCTTCCTTCTCTTGTGCTGACTGCTGAACACTTCATGGGCCAGTCTGTCCTCATCACTGCACCAAAATTTTCCGACAGTTGGAATATGAAAACATGAGAATTAAAGAATTTAGAGAAATAATTAAGCCAGTTGTCTGCTTTGTCTCACAACCCTAAAATCCAGAAGAATCAGAAAATCTGCAAGTCAGAATAAGAATTATTTTGTGCAGCTCTTGATGGGGCATACAGTGGAATTTGGGGCCAGGGCTCCAGCTGGTTATCATCAAGTTGTTTTCTGCTGCTTTGTTTTGCTTGCTGTACACATAATCCCCCTGGAAACCAGAAAAGGAGGAGGCTCCATTGTTCCCCCAGCACTAAACAGGTACAAGACAGTGCCTGGGATTGTAGGCAATGAATGAATAACATGAAAAATGTTAATCTCCTCTCAAAGGTACAATCTGTTGACAACTTTTATTGGGTAGAATTTTTTTTAAGTGATAAAAATGCTGAGGAGAAATGCTCTTATCTCCATTTCACTCAGGCATTCTGGAATCATTAAAATGTACCCAGACACACACTACAAAAATTCAATATTTTCTGCAAGATAAGTATTCATTTTAAATATTTCTTAAATAAATAATCTACTTTATTTAAACTTAGGTTAATACTTAGATTAACTAATTCTGAATTATTATCTGTAGAAAAATATCATACATAATATTTCCATAAATATCCATATGTGTTTGCATTTTTGGAAATAAAGCCTTCATTTATCAGAAATTCACAAGCTAGTCTTTACATATTTTTTTCAATTCCTGTTTGCCTCATTTTGTTTGACTGAAATTTTGCAAGGAGTATGAATGTATGAATGTAAAGTTGTCTAACTAACATTACCAAAAGTTCACTTCTTCCAAATAATAATGGGAAGTTCTTTTCTCATTTTAGTAGGTTAGTCAGAAAGAAAATATCTTTAAAGAAGAGAAGCAGCTACCAATTCTCAATATATTAATTCAAATCTAGATAAGCAAAAGTCTGACCAATAGTTGTGGTAACCTAAACAAAAAATACAGCATAAGAAATTTAGGTAAATAGACTATATTTGCCAGTTCAACACCAGCAAATTTAACTAGCAAATATATAGTCAAAAATAAAATATCTTCTTAATTTAGAACATAGAAAGTCTATAATAGGTCTTGAAATTAAAAAAGATTGTGAGCATTTATTTCACAATTAGATTAAATGTATATGGATATTTATTTACTTATATACACATTATGTTATCATTATTAGAGTTCTTTTCCTAGAAGTATGTTTATCTAACATTCTTATTTTGTGTGTTTCATATTGTCAAAAATGCCAACTAACATTCTATATAAATGAGAATTAAGGCCTTCTTTTGCCCTCTAGAGTCATAAAACAGAGGCTAAAATGGACTTTGGAGTCAGATGGAACTCATTCAAATTTCAACCTTAATGCTTGCTACCTGTGCAATGACATATAAATTACTTGATTTGTCTAAGTCTTAGAATTAGAATCTTCACCAGTGAAGTAGGATTCCTGTAAAGGACAAACAAAAATATATATGCATTCAGTGCCTAGAAAATAGCAGATGTTTGGTAAAGGGTAGCTGTTACTATAGAAGGTGGATAGATGCCTCAGATGAATCCAGGAAAAAAAGGTTCTATTTCAGGACCTCATTTATTTTTTTCACTCAGCAGACATTTATTTAGTGCCCACCACCTATTAGGCTCTTAGGTAGGCACCAGAAGATGGCACTAACAAAGAAACAACAGAAATAATATGATACTAAATAGGGTGATACAAATAGTATTATAGAAATACCAGTCGCTAATATATACAGAATTCATATCATATGCTGGCACTTGAACACAGTATCTTCATTCTCATTCAAGGTCACAGAATGTGCAGCTATAAAGCCTGCGATTTTAACAAATGCAGTCTAAACAAAACTCTAGAACAAGCATCACAAGTGGCCCACCAGAACCTTTTCAGAGCTACCCAGTAACAGTGAAGGAAGAGAAGTACCACAGGTTGTGTATTAATTGCTCATAAATAGAATCTTTAAAAAATATGAAAAGGCTTTTACTAATTTTAAATCATCCTTTGAAAATAATTTAAAGTTACGATGATTTCAAGATTGAACTCCCTTCGATATAATAAAGGCAAAGTACAAGTTTAAAAAGACATGGAAAGAATAATTATATATTCTCTTTCAACAGACCTATCAAGTATTTCTTGATACAAAATAACTCACTTAAAAATAACACACTGTCCTTTTATATACCACTTTACTCATCTAATCACCTAATCAGTGTAGTGTCCAAAAACAGGGTGTAAATACTATGTAATTTATTAATCAAGTTGGTTGTGGAAATTACTACTTACCATGATTGCTTTTGGATAAAGAAGAAATAGGTTGTGGGAAAAATTAGTTAATTAGGTTGTTCTACCCTTCTGGAGCAAGACTATCAAAATCATATCTAAATTAGAAAATTATAAAACTAAGCCAAGATTCTATAAACTATTTGAACTATCATAAAAAAAGAACTTTTTGAGTTCTGGAAGTAACAGATGCCTATAGGTTCTATAGGGCTTATAAAAATGTTAGCATTTTAAATGTCACTTACCTGTTTCAAACGCTCCTGTATTTTAGACTCTACTCCTTCAATGTGTGAAATCATTTTGTTGACACATGGCGCTGGAATGTTCACTAAAGAACAGCTGTGACGTCGACATGGGTAGCTAAAGTAAATGCCTTTGTTCACCTCTAAAAGTAAAGCAGACAGAGGCAGTTAATCATCAGTTACATACAGTGTAGTAACCTTGATGTTCAGAATGTGCAACAATACTCAGCTTTATTAAAACTAATACTCTCAAAGTGTTTTAACATGTTGATAAATATTTCACAACTACAGAATGAGCCTTCTAAAATTTTAAAAGCTAAAATAATTATTTATGACTTAAAATGTAACAAATAGAAATGAACCTAAGAAGCAAGAATAAAACTTCAAAGTTAAAAAGTTTGTGTTCCACAGCATTATGAACTAGCAATTGGGAAATTAAAAAATAAAAAGAGGCAGAAAACATATTAATCCATTTGTTTCTAAATAAATCCTAAATCACTAAAAAATGACTTTGAAATATATTTTAAACTCTTCTTTCAAAGAGAAGAGTTTACATCTCCCAATGTAAACAATATTCGACCACTCATACATTGAAAGAGGTCTTCTTTAAACCCAGCATGAGCTTCTCTTGCAGACGAAAATAAAAGCAGGTCCCCTTCACCCTCATAATAACCTAATTTTCTACCTTCCATTTCTGAAAATTGGAGTCTCTTACAAAGAGTGATTGATGTTCTCACTATAGCATTCAAGTTGTATTCATCATAAAATCCACTCAGTCTGATGTGCCTCAGTGACTCTAATCCTGACATGTCCCAAATCAACCGAAGGTTGCAGAAGCACTGCAAAGTTGTCCATGAAACTCCACCAAAGTGCTTACTTGCAGTCCTTTGGCCTCTAAGGACTCTGCTGGGCTGGAGTATAGCTGCAGTCACTGATCTTAAATGCAAGACACAAAATAGGCTTGGTGCCTCAAAGAGAACAGGTGATGGCCTCATTTCAGTTGACCTTGAGAAACACAGAGGTAATGCTATTGCCTACTGACTGTGCCTTTTGTTTCAATGCCAACCCACGAAGATGGTAAGTATTTTAGATATCTTCATTTAAACTGCAGCCTTTTAAATGAAGTCTCACCATCTTCTCCAAAAAACAACCACTGTGAAAATGGCAAATGTTTCATTTATAGATGAAAGTTTTACTCTATCCTATGTGAAGATATATGTGTATATATGCATATATAATATATATTAATATGTGCCAAACATGGGATTATGCTTACTTTTTCATCCTCACCTGAGGACATTTTTTATTGCTTTTTTTAGAGACAGAGTAAGGGTGTTGGAGAGAGAGAGCGAGAGAGAAAGAGATTGATTTGATATGAGAAAGGAACATCAGTCACTTACTTCCTAAATGCTTCTGACCAGGGATTGAACTCGTAACCCAGATATGTGCCCTGACAAAGGATTGAACCCACAACCTTTCCATTTACAGGATGATGCTCCAACTAACTGAGGTACAGCAGCCAGGGCTGTGCTAAGTACTTTGGATACGATGTTTTTTAACCTTCACAACAATCTTATGAAATTGGATCATTATCTTGACTTCATAAGTGAGGAAACCAACGCTTAGAAAAATTTTATAACATATCCAATTCCAAAGAACTGGTAGGTGGGAGAGCTGGCACTTGAACTATACTTCCCTTGCCATGGAGTATAAGCTATACTACAGTTTGTTTTTATATTTTAAGAAATGTGGCAAAGAGAAGCAGTCCTAAAAATATATTTTGTGGCATCTCAAATGTTTCACATACAACTTGATTTGGAATTTGAATGTTCCTTCAGGAGATCAGTGCTGATACTCTGAAATATTTTAGTTTGCTTCAACCATGCTTAACACACGTACTTGCTATGACTATTTTGTGTGTGTTACATTCCATATTTCCTCTTTTATTGATACACAGATATATATATATATATTCATGCCTGGAACAGTCAAAGGACCAAAGTGCACGCTGGTGAAAATTACATATTGATCTTCTATACAAGTATCCTGATAAGGGCATGTTGCCCTTGCCTTTAGAAATAAGATTTTAACATACATTTAACAAGTAGGCAGTTTTCCTTATACTCAAAACATTTGTTTTGCTTTGTTAAATGTGGGGAAAACAAGAATAGTAATGACTCACTTAACATTTCTCTGCATGTGCTACTTTCAACCTATTATGTGAGTACTAATTCATTTCTATAGCACCCCTAGGGCTTGGGATTAACATTGTACATATGGCAATGTGGGGAAAATAAAATACTAGGAAGTCAAAATTTGCACTAAAATTCTGTAAAAAGACATGGCATCATAAGGAGTAGAAGACAGAATCAAAAATTCTGGAGTTTTTATAACTGTTCTTATTTTGATGTGTGCATGGTGTAAGATAAAATTTTGCATTTCATCTTCATTTTATCTACCTTAAAGAGACACTTAGATCAGTGAACTAGGTGTCATGTTCATTCACTCTTTGATTGACTATAAGCTCTGATTCCTAAACTAAAACTACTCAATCTCTCACTCCAGATTTCTCATTCAATAAATGAATGGGTTGATAGGGTGTCATCTAAAATATTTTGCACCTAAAATTCCATGATACAATGAGAATTACTGGTTTTAGTCAAACATTAATTCATAGAGCTGCTCCTGGTGAAGTGGTCAGGGTGTTTAAAGAATTAAGCTCAAACAGGACTCTCATTCTTCCTAAACATCTGCCCAACCCTAACTTCCTCGCTCAGAATCAATGGATAAGGGGGAAGATCCTCCTGGATCTAGGCCAGAGTTGAGGCTTGTTGAGACTTTGCAACATGAAACATCCATCTGAGGGAAAATACGGATGGGCTGAGTGTGTTGGCAAATGGAATGAAAATGCCACGTTCATAAAGTGTCAATTCTCCTTGCTCAGTGAATTTGATGTTTACATAATTTGTTCACCCAGACATAATTTAACATGTATTTGAAATTTTAGAATGGTAAAACTAAAATCTTATCAGTGGATATAGGAAGGGATATTGACTACAAATGTCATAAATGAACTTTCTGGAAAGATGGGAGAGTGTTTAGATATGGTTAATAATATTTATATTTGTCAAAAGTCATTCCTGTGTATACTTGAAATAAGTGAACTATATTGTACTTAAATTATACCTCAATAAATTTGTTTTATAAAAAGGCAACTAGCCATACTCTAGTAACAGAATTCAATAACCTCCTATCATCACCATCTCTTTTAACTGTTAATACTACAAAAAAGAGTAGACAACACTTCCCTGAAATGTTCTCCTTTAATAGCTTTCTCTCACTTCTTCATTGCCTATTTATCCTCATAGGCATGACTCTTGGTAAGAATTCATTTTCTCTTAGTCATCTCCTCTAAGTGATTAACTCCCACTTAAACATCTTTAGATTTAACTTTACCCTGAATTCCTTGTCAAAATGTACAAACCTTATAAAACATATCCTTCCTCGTGCCTGACCCTAGCATTGAATGTAGAAAAAAGACGGTGGGACCTGAGGGATCCTTTGAGGGATGAGAGGATGAAAGTTAAAATTAGAATGTACACATTGAGAAGTTGATATACCACAAACAAGGAAATAAAGAAATCCATGTAGACCCCAGTAGTCTAAGATGTCAAAGCCAAAAAGGCTACAGAGGAAAAGAAACACATTCCTACCATCAGAAATAGAGCTGGAAAAGATACGGGAGACATACAGAGAGAGCTCCAGAATGGGAGGGATCTGACACGTTTCAGGCAGTGAGAATGGTGTCCAATACAGAGTGGAGAGCAGAAACTATTTGGCAAATAACAAAATGATGAGAGACTAAAGATACACCATGATAAAACTTTTGATTGCAGGTCTGCCTCAAATCTATTTGGTATTCAACATTTGGACTTTTTCAAGGCCAACAAGCCAAAGGCAGTCTTCAAGAGACAAACCAATTTGCAAAGCCAATATTTCTAAAACTAAACTCAACTTCATTCCACTCAATCTCTTTCTCCTTTGTTCTCATTCTCAAAGTGTGCAACAGTTAAATCACTATTGAATCCTCTTTTCATTCAAGTTTCTATGTTACTATTTACTAAATATTATTCCTTTGTAATGTCTCTTTAATTCCTATCTTTCATAACCATCAATCTTTTATAAATCAAGCCCTTATTACCTTAAGCCTGGACTATAATGATAAGGTAACCTGTCTGCACATTTCCTCCTGTAGCCAAATAATTCTGCATAGCAGACTCATATTGCCAAGCAAAGGATTTGGTTATGTAATATCTCTACTTATATATAGAACTACTCCTGAGCCTGAAACTCAAAATGCTTTGTTTTAAGTAATCATCTTTACATTTCTGAGTCTTCCTTATGGTATAGTCCAAATATATTTTTCCATATTTTGTACTATTTCATTACTGTTATTTGACATCCAATATGTCTTGCTTAAACACTGTCCTCACTGTTCATAAACAAATGCATCCTTTAAGATTCAGTTCAAACCTGTCCTTATTCACTGACAGTTCTTTTAATCCTTAGAGACCACAAATATTGGTGTTATTCAAAACACTGAGGGTATTTCTTGTCCATACTATTCATTTGTCATGTACTACTGTGACACTGTGATTTACAATAAATAATTTGTGTTTGGCCTTTGTCTTGTTTTTGACATATAGCTCCTAAAAAGCTTGGAATTTCTGAGTGAGAGCTATAAAGCTGTTCTTCATTGTGTTAATGAGATGACTTTAGGATCACTCACCAACAGTCAAAGATATAATAAAGCATGCCTATGTAGTGAAGCCTCATAAAAACCCAAAAAGACAGGGTTCACAAAGCTCCAAGTTGTTGAACATATGGGGAAAGTGGTCTGCCCAGAGAAGACCTAGAAATTTTGTGCCCTGTCCCCATACCCTTCCCTATGCATCTTTTCCATCTGGCTATTCCTGAGCTATATCCTTTTTATAATAAACTGGTAATCTAGTAAGTAAAATGTTTCTTTGAGTTCTGTGAGCCACTCTAGCAAATTAATGAAACCCAGGAAGGGTTGTTCATTAAAACCTCCAACCTATAGCAATTGGTCAGAAGCTGGTCCTGGGATTTCCACTGGTATCTGTGATAAATGGAGAGGCAGTCTTGTGGGACTATGCTCTTACTGGGATTTGATGCTATCTCCCAGTAGATGGTGTCAGAATTGAGTTGAATGCACGACACCCATCACTTCATTGCTTTTAGAGAGAGAGAGAGATGTGAGAGAGAACCATTATTTCAGTTAGCTGCTTCTCATCTGTACCCCAATGAGGGAGGGAACCCACAATCTGGGTGTGTGTCCTGACCAGGAATCGAACCTCCAACCTTTCCATCTATGGGATGATGCTCCAACCAAGCAAGCCACATCAGCCAGGGCAAGTACAGAAACTTGTAACGACCTTATTTCATCTCTGTTACTCCACATAATCATTCTTTTCTATTGTTTTGTACTAATTAGTGCATAGTTACATATTATTTGGCCTGAAGATTTTATACTCTATTTCTAAAATATATACGCACCTTAGTAGCACATGTATATTTCAGTGTTTTTAATGTATTTGTTCATAAATCAATCCTTTCATAATTTAAAATTTGTCCAAACCTACCTATGCCTCATAGCTAACTATGAGCAATAAAGTCTAAGCCAAGACATTAAAGTTCTAGTCAAGATTTCTACTAGACAGAAATAGATAAAGGATCAAAATGGCAACTTATCCCAATTTTACCCTATCAAACTGAAAATCTCCAGAGCAGAAATCACCAGTCAAGATTAAATCAATGTTAAAGTTTTTGATATAAATTTCTCCACTAGAATGATCTAGGAAAAAAGTATGAACCCCTATATATCAAGTATACACATACATAATCTCTTTCTACATATTTCCACATTTAATATAAAAAACACTTTCAAAAATGTTTAATGGATTTTCAATGAACAATTTTTAATTTTGGATTTCACACTCCCAAAACATAAATCCTTCTCTTCCTTTAAAAAGACACATCCTTCTTAAACCAGAAAGTTTCTAGCACCTGCCAGTCATGGCATGAGCAATTTAAAAAAAAGTTCATTTTTTAAAATCCATGCATTTGTGAAATTGTAAACAATTTTCATGGACCAAATTGTAATTAATGATTTATTAGTAATAAAATACATTATAATATATTTTCTACACTATATCATTACTTTGTTAAATTAATTGATATTCAGGAGATGTTTCTCAGTAAAAATATAACATTGACATCACAAACTAATGAGTGACTATAAACATAGTTTACATAGGTTACTGTACAATTTACATTCAGTCCTCACCTTCAGTATTTGTCATTTTATTTTTGGAAAAAATCTCACCAGCTTCTTTAGGGGTGCCAAATAAAACCAATGCTTGTGATGTGGCATTATCTTTGTACAAGAAAAGAAAAATTTTAGAAAGCAGTTAATATAAATTTTTAAATAGTTAAACTAATACACGGAACTATGTTGTGAAAGTATTGTCCTTGAAAAAGCAATGATAATGCAAATATTAACCAAAACCTTCAGTAGAATACCTTTAGATGTTTTCTGGGTTATTCGATTTGCTTAACTCTCACAGAAAGGTATTCAAACCAGCATGCAGCTATTAGCAGCAAGCAGAGAGACCCGTCAGTAGATATTATGGGGTGATAAAATATTTTGTCTGGGATGGAGTGGTGGCTCTGCATTTATCATGTGTACATTTAACAAAATGCATTAAATTATTATTTTAAAATGAGCCTTTCATAACATATAAATTATAAAGTAATAAAGAATTACACATATTGCTTTAATGGCAATATTTTGGTAGATTATACAGGCATACATAAATATAAGATCTAAATGCTTGCAGAAGAACCAATACTAATATTTAGTAGCCATTACAAGTAGGATATTTATCTTCTAAAACTGCACTAAAAATAAAATGAAGCAAAAATAAATTCATATGAAAAATTAACAAACATAAAAAATAATGTATTGAAAAAGTATAAAAATAGTGCTACCAGCTATTCTATGTGAATGATTTAAATTCATCTAAAAAGAATGCCAAATAAAAATGATACAGAAAAACTGTATATAAAATATATACATTTCTTTCCTGAGAAAGAAAACTTGATGTAAGCAAATTATGAAGGAATCTAGAACTTAAACTAGACAGTTATTAACTCTTAAACCTAAAAAGTAACTATTTTATATTAAAGCTTTAGTTAATAAATATTTATGTGTGTGTAGTTATACAGCAACATCATATTTAAAAAGCAATGTATTTTAACACAAAACTATTTTTTTAATTTAAAGTTTAACTCACCATCATTTATGTATAACATACGCATCTCAGAATAACCAAATTCTATATAGACCTGATAATAAATGATAGATTTGATAAACATATTATGAATCCCACAATGAAAGAAAATACTGATTTTAACAGTAATGAAACTTTATGAAAAGTAAAAGTAACTCAGGCAGCAATATAACAAAAAATTTAACAAGTAGAAACAATTTACAATTCAAAGTTAGTCACATAAATTTAATTCAAAAGTACTTGGAAATTTTAATGTGCATTTCCAAATGACAAGTGAGTCAAGAAATAATTCCATGTCGTAAGGTTTTCATTAAAAAAAATGAAAACACTTTATAGAAAAGTTTATTAAACTGAAAATCAACAACTCTTGTTAAACCCACCAAGGAATTGAAACCACAATGCAAACTAACCACAAAAACCAAAGGAACAAGGCAAACACAAAGGATCATAGCTTTCCGGGAGGAGAAGTTGAAGTCAAGGAAGGGTCTCAAAATTTAAACTGTAACTGATGAACTGATGGAGGCTGTGTGAACTAGTTTGTAGATTAAAAATTCCTGGGAACCAGTTTGAGAGGGTCACTCACACTTTCATTAGCTTTATTCCCAGGTTCACTAGGTCTCACAGTAAACAATGAAAAAATAATCTTTCCTGTTTTCAGAAAGGGAAGGAGGAAAGTAACTATTTCGAACTATATCCAGGGTAAAAAAATAACCATGTTCAAGGCTATGGGCTATGCCCAGAGTGTTCTGGGTTTTGCCTGCCCTCAAAAGGAACTACTGTAACAGGGCCTGATAGAGGGAAGGGAAATGCCCAACTCCACCTCCCCCTAGCCTTCCTAGCTCATTGAATGTGGAAAAAGATTTAGCAGCATGGGATAGCATTATGTATTTGTCAGAACCCATAGAACTAAACTACATGAAGAACAAGACCTAATGTCAGATATGGACTTTATTTCACAATTATCTATCAACTCTAACAAATATATAACACTGGTGAAAGAGGTTAATAATGCCTGAAACTGTGAGAGGGCAGACAGTGAATATGTGGGAACTCTATACTAACAGCTGATTTTCTGTGAATCTAAAACCACTCTAAAAATTAAAATTTATTAATTAAAAAATTCAATCAATAGGAATTGTCCCTGAGGAAATCAAGATTTTGGATTTACTAGTCAAAACATTTACATCACATATTTTTTTTATCCTCACCTGACGATACTTTTTTCACTGCCTTTAGAGACAGAGGAACGGCCCTGGCTGGTGTGTCTCAGTAGATTGAGCACCAGCCTGCGAACCAAAGGGTCGTTGGTTCGATTCCCAGTCAGGGCACATGCATGGGTTGTTGGCTAGGTCCCCAGTAGAGAGAAAGGAAGGTAGAGAAACATCAATGTGAAAGAGAAACATCGAATGGCTGCCTCCCTTACAAGCCTGGACCCAGGATCAATCGCATGATGGACCAGGGATCAAACCCGCAACCTATGCATGTGCCCTGACCAGGAATCAAACCCACAACTCTTCAGCTATGAGACAATACTCCAACGAACTGAGCCACACCAGTCAGGGCAAGACTTTATATCATCTATTTTGAATATTTTCAATGAGTTAAAAAAAATCCATGTTTAAAGAACTTTTTTAAGGTATGCGAATAATATCAAATAGATAATATCAATAAGACAAAAGTAATAAGGAACCAAGTAGATATTATGGAGTTGAAAAGTATAAGTGAAATAAAAATTTCTCTAGAGGGGCTCAATAACTACTTTGAGTAGGCATAAGAAGCAAAAATGGCAGGTACAAAATAGACAGGAGGAGGTTAAGAATAGTTTGGGAAATGGAGAAGCCAAAGAACTTACACGTATGACCCATGGGCATGAAATAAGGGGTGGGGGGAGGAGGGAATGCTGGTGGGAGGGAGGAGTGCAGGGTGGAGGGGAATAAAGGGGAGAAAAAAGTGGGACAACTGTAATGGCATAATCAATAAAATATACTTTAAAAAATAAAGAAAGATCAATGAATTTGTAGATAGGTCAGTTGAGATTACCTAGTCTGAGAAGCAAGGGAAAAAAGTGAAGAAAAATGAATAGAACCTCAGAGACCTGTATGACACCCTCAAACTTACTACCACATGCATAATAGAAGTCTGAAAAAGAGAGGGCAGGGAAAAAGGAATGGAAAGACTATTTTAAGAATCAATGACTAAAACATTCCAAATATGATGATACACTTTAATTTGTACATCCAGGAAACTCAAGAAACTCCAGGTAGAATGAAAAAAATTAGGCAAATCACAACTGTGAAAAACAAAAAATCCTGAAAGCAAAGAGAGGCAAGAAATAAATCATTCACAAAGAATCATCAATAAGAGTAAAGGTGATTTATGTATAGAAACCACAGAGCCAGAAGACAATAGAATGACATTTTTAAAACACGGAATAAAAAAATTGTCAACCAAAATAAATTTTTAGTTTACTCTTTATTGTATTTTTTCCATTGCTTTTTAGTCCCCTCATACCCCTCCCCACCAGTTGTTACCACACTGTTGTCCACGTCCATGATTTAAACTGTCACAACTACCATTAAAAATGAAGGAAAAAGTAACACATTTACAGATAAGCAAAAACTGGTGTTTTTACTAGCAGACTTGCTACAAATCTAAAAAGACTCATTCAGGTTCAAATGAAAAGAAAATACTAAGTTGAAAGCTCATAAGAAATAAATAGCATAGCACTAGAAAGAAAGGTAACTATGCATTAATATTAGTTAAATATAAAATAATTGTAAATGTAGCTTTAGTTTATAACTTTTTATCTCCTAGTTTATTTAAAACACAACTTTAGAAAGCAAGAATTTTAACTCTACAGTGGTGGTCACAAATGTACAAAGGGAATTTGGGACAAATATACAAAGAGAATTTGTGACAATAACAGCAAAAGGGAAGGTGAAATGTAGCTATATGAAGAAAAATTAATGTTTAATATTAAAATTGCATTATTATTAATCTGAGGTTGTTACAAATTATGATGTTAATTGTAACCTCCAGCATAAATGCTAAGAAAATAATTCAGAAGTATATAGTAGAACAAGTGACAAAGTAATAAAAATGGTACACTAGAAAATATATTTTTATTATATGGAAGAAAAAAGGAAAAGACAGACACGAGACTTCTAGAAAAATATTAAGTGGCAGATTTAAACGCTACTTTTAACAAATTAAACTAAATGTAAATGGGTTAAACTTCCTAATCTAAAGTCAGACACTAGCAGAATTCAAAAACACATTTTAGATTCAAAAACAAAAATAGTGCGATAGTAAAAATGTGAAAGATATACTATGTAGAGAGCTGGAGTATTCATACTAGTATCAGGTGAAATAGACTTTAGACAAAAATGATTACTAGAGATCAAAAACTATGTACAATGATAAAAGTTTCAAATTATCCATTACAAACAAATACAACACAATTACAAACATATACAAACCTAACAAATCCTCAAAATGCTTGCAGCATGTTGACATAACTGAAGGAAGAAGTAGACAATTCAACAATAAAGTGAGAGACTTCAATTGCCCACTTTAGATAACAGACACACTAGGAAGAAGTTAGGCAAGTAAAGAACAGACTTGAAAACATGATAAATCAACTGGACCTAAGATACAACTAGCAGGGGTATCCAACTCCGTGGCCCACAGCCCAGGATGGCTATGAATGCAGCCCAATACAAAATCATTAAATTTACTTAGAACATTATGAGATTTTTTTTGTTTTCATTAGTGTTTGTGTATTTAATGTGGCCCAAGACAACAATTCTTCTTCCAGTCTGGCCCAGAGATGCCAAAAGTTTGGACATCACTGATACTAGAGAATATTCCACCAACAAGAGCAGAAAACACATTTTTTTAAGTTCGCATGGAATTCCCCATAATAGAGCATACAATAAGCAATAAACAAGTCTCAATGTATTCAAAAGAGATAATTTACAAAGTATATCCACAGAACACAATGGTGAACATAGAAATCAATGACCACAGCAAACTGGAAAATTCTCATACATGTGAATTTTAAATGCAACCCTGAATAAACAATGGATCAAAGAAGAAATCACAAGGCAAATTAAAAAACACTTCAAGATGAATGAAAACAAAATTACAACATATCTAAACTTATGCAGTTTTGTGAAATCAATACTGAGGGAAATTTGTAGTTGTATATACCTACATTGTTTTTAAAAAAGGTAAGAATTTGAATTGATAACTAGTCTCTCATCCTAAGGAAAAAAAAGAGCAAACTAAGTGTAAAAAAGCAGAGGAAGGAATATTAGAGTCGAGACAAATGAAATAGAGAATAGCAGTACATTAAAGAAAATATACAGAACCAGAAGGTGCTTTTTTGAAAATATTAACAAAATTGACAAAACTGTAGCTTAACTGATCCAGGGTCAGGGTGGGGAAGGGGAAGACAATACTTGAAGTACTAAAGTCGAGAATGAAATAGGGATATTACTCACTACCTTACAGAAAGGCTTATAAGGGAATACTATAAACAATATTACAGCAATGAATTAGATAAATTAGATGAAATGGAAAATTCCTAGAAAGCAACAAACTGCCAAAATTGACTCAAGAAAGAAAAATAGAAAATCCGAATAAAATTATAACAAGAAATTAAATTATTAATTAAAAATCCTCCCACAAAGAAGTGTCCTTGACCAAACAGCTTCATCAGTAAATATCACCAAACAGTTAAAGAGTTAACACTGATGCTTCATAAATTTTGCAAAATATAGAAGAGAAGGGAACACTTGCCAACTCATCCTATGAGCCCCACATTACCCTGACACCCAAACCAAAGACATCACAAGAATAAAGCTTTACACAAAAAATGCCTTATGAACACAGTTACAAAAATCCTCACAAAATACTAGAAAACCAAATCAGTAGCATATAAAAAGGATTATACACCATGTTCAAGTGATATTCATCCCATAAATGTTCAACATATAAAAATCTGTCAGTGTCATATACTATAAT